AATTAAACTATAAATTATATCTAATTCAAAAGGTATGTAATAATATAAGATAGTAAACATTTAAATTATTTTATTATTTTAAAATCTTGTTTTAAAATTTTGCTAGGCTTAATTTATTGCTTTATTTAATTGAAAGACTGAAGATATTTTTGGCTTATAAACGATCAATTCAAATTGTTTTCTATCTATTAAATTTTGTATCTTTAAATATTAGTCGATATTTGAATATAATACATTTTTTTCTTGAAATAAAATTTTTGGATTGTATCAAGTTTAAAATATTAAATAATTATAATTCGAAATGTTTGCACCATAGCATAAACATTCCGAATTATAGTTATTATATAATAAATTATTATTTTCATCTTAGCGTAGCATTATAAAAGCTTTTTTTTTTTATAATTAATTTTTTCAAGTGAAATCAAATATTTCTATTTTTATAATATAAATATTTCAATTAGCATATAAGTATTTTAATTAAACATATTAGATATTTCTATTCAAATTTATCAAAAATTATTTCACTTTATCCTTAATTCGAATCGTTTTTCTCTCTCTCTCCCTCTCTGCAAATCGATTGATAAAAAAAAAGAGAGAGAGGGAGAGAAGGGAAGAGAGAGAGAGAGAGAGAGAGAGAGAGAAGGGGAAAAGAAACATTTGTAAAGTGCATGGAACAAATTCAAATTATTGATTACGACTTTTTGTCAATTCTTTCCGTCCCACCGAATCTATGGATGGCATTTTGATTTGAGAGGAATGAATGAGTGATCGGTGCAATGCATTTAGTTCAGCAATAATTTATTTCAAAATTTTCTTTTTCTCTTTTTCCCTTATTTCTTCTTATATTCATTCTCTTTCTTTTTCTTATTTTTTCATCAACAACAAAATCATTTGTTATTCGTTGCTTAAAAAGAGAAAAAAAAAGTGAAAAATGAGAGAAATGGCATTAACTAAAAAGTTATGTTAAAATTATGCAAAAATGTTAATTAGAAAGTATTTCATTTTTTGCTTTTTATTTTCTTTTTTAAATTATTTTCCAATCAAATTATTAATATTTGATAAGAGAGGGAGAGAGAGAGAGGGAGAGAGAGAGAGGGAGAGAGAGAAAGAAAAGGAAAAACGAAAGAAAGAGAAAGGAAGAATAATGCAACTAATTCATTCGTTTATATTTATTTAACTTTAAAAAAAAAATTTTTTTTTCTTTCAATAATAAAATTATCATTTTAAATAATTTATTTTATTCTATTTAGTGATAAATATGCTATCATTAATACCTTATCACTAATGGACTAATATCAGTTAACATATTTGCACACCCATCAAAAATATTTTTCATCGTTTTGATCAATCATTTCAAAACATTTCAAAATAATCTTTATTGCTCCAAAAAGAAAAATCAATATAATACTTTTTTTTTTTCAATTGATAATTTTGTTTTTATTTATCAATTTATGATAATGATTGTGTGATAACAATAAAAAAATTGATATTTAATAAAAAATCATAACAATAGATGAAACATAATAGTTGCTTAATAATTTTGTCACATAGCAGATGACACATTGTACTTCATTTTCTGATACTTTTTGACTAATATTTTTGGAATCAGTGACAACGATAACCTTATCAGTGATATAATTCTTTTCATCTCGGACATTTAATTATTATCGACTACATTTAAGTCTTTCATCACTTTTTCTTCATAATTTATAATTATATAACGAAGAAATGATTGAAATAAATCATAGTGGCAGAAATTTGCGAATTAATTTTCTGTTTTTATTATTTCATATTTTTTAATTTCATATGGATTAATAAAAGAAGGCTTTAATGCTTACAATTTTATTAGTTTCTTTTTTCTTCAAAAAAAACTTTTCTTAAATTTAATATGTGTCATTAAAACGAGAAATTGGTAATATTTCTTGACTATTAATTTATTCATACTAATTTTACAATTATTGATTTTTTGATATTTACTACTAACTGTTTGCAATTGATTATTATTTATTTGATTATCAGTTAATTATCAACTTTTTAGTTCATCATTAATATCATCCAGTAATTACTCTTAGCATTACTTATCAAATTTTACTACCTATTTTATTATTAAATTTTACTATTAAATATGAAATTAGCTGACACTTCGCTAATAATTACTATTCAATATTTGTTGATTATCGATTACTATTTCTCAAAATATGAAATAAAATCAGCAACAATGTATTATTCAATTCATTTAAATATTTGTTATGGAAAATTATCTAATCAAATCATTTACATAATTTGTCTGAATAATACCAAATATTATTAAACGCTTATAATAAGGTAACCTTATCAAATATACTTGTTTAGTTACCTTCAAAATGAAGTAATTCAAAGGTTATCAAAATTTATTTACTGGAAATTTTTAAACTTTTAAATAATGATTATTATAAAAATTACTCCATAATTCACATACATATCAAATAAACTAATTAATTAAATTTACAAAATGAATAGAATAATATTTCTAAATAATATCAGTAAAAGTGGTGCTGTACTACCAACATTTTATATTATCTTTTTTGTTAAGAAAAACAGTTTAGCATTAATAATTGTATGCTAAAAATTTTAAGTTTTAATTTTAAGTAAGTTTTAATTAGAAGTTTTAATAATAATTATTAATTTATAAATGATTTTACAACATTCCAATATTTACTGAAATGAGAGGGAATAAGATGAAAAAAAAAAGTAAATGAAAGATGATTAAATGTTTAAATTTAAATCATTCATTTTTCTCTCTCGTCATCATTTTATTTATTTTACATTGATATTAGTAAGCAATAATTGAGCTTTTTCTTTTTTTTTTTTAAAAATTTAATTTTTGTTGTGACATCATCGGATAAAATTTCATTAGTCAATTATAAAATTTTGCTATTTTAAAAAAGAAATACTTTTTTTTCCTATAAATATTCTAATTATTCTTTCATATTGAATGATACAAATGGACACACACGTGTGTATCACGTAAGTATGCAGATATAAACACGTCAAACGAAATAGTCTGAATGAAATTTTTAAAGTCAAACTTTTTTTTTCAATAAAAAACGAACATCAGTTTGCAGAGTTTATTGAACAGATGTTTACTTACTTAAGAATTTTAACAAACTTGATTTAAACATACAATCGGCATTTTCTCTTCATTTTTTCACTTTTTTTTTTTCTTTTCTTTTTCTTTTTTTTTATATGCAAGGAAACAGGAAAAATGAAAAATATGTTTAACAACGTTGGACGAAGGTTATAAAAGTGCAAAAAGAAAAGTAATAGAAGCAAATGGAAAGGTTGGAAATTGCTGTTATTTTATCTTTTAACAATATTCCATTCATTTGTATTAATTGTGCTAATTAATTAATTAATTAGTTAATTAATTAATTATGAACGAAAGTATTTCATTTGAAAGAATATTTTCTTCTAATGAAATAGAAAATTTTCATACGTCTAATAGAAATTTCATTCGCATAATTTCAATATGTTTAGCAATAAAAAAAGGATTGCTTAGATATTATTATCAATAGATATTATCTTAGATAATATTTATTATAATACGATTTAATTGCTTATGATTTTTCGAAAATATTTTCAAGAATTAACTTTGTGAATTTGCAGTCATTATAATTTGACATTGAAAAAAGGGTTGAGAGATTATCATAATTCAATTTCTTTTAGGCAAATGAAACCATTTTAAGTTTTATTTTAAGCAATGAAATATAATTTAAAAAAGAAAATTTTCAGCAAATATTTATTTTTTCATTTGTTTAACCCATAATATATATATTTTATTTCAAATTATTCCCAAATTTTCCCATTTTTAATTCTTAATGCATTTATTTTCAAAGTTTTTGTTTTACTCAAATAAATATGAAATGAGTTATAATGCGATTATACGATGACATAATTTAGTAAAATTTTGAAAAATATTTGATATTCAACCAACCGTATTTCTTCTTTTTTTAAAACTTTTTTTACAAATTTAAAAACTTATTAAATTCTTTCATTAAATTATTTGCTTAATTGTTTTTTTCTCAAATGAAATAAAATTTAAAAATAACATTAAAGAATGAAATTACAATATAATATAGCTACAATGACAATCTTTTTTTATCCATTTGTTCGATATGTGTGTCACATTTATTTAAAAAATAAACAAATTCTTTCTTTTCTTAAACAATCAATAATTTTGATTTTAACTATTAATTTTATAACATTTTAGCAAAAATTTTTGAGAAAATTAAAAACTGTTTTTAAATTATTTATTCATTTATTTTATTTCATTTATCTTAAATCATTCATTATTGCTCATTGCTATTGATGTTTTAAGATTTGATAAAAAATTGCAAAAGTTTTTTTTTTAAAAATTTTGCTGATTTCTAAGAGATATAAAATTATTTGAAAATTAATCTATGCTATTTTAAGTAACATTCTAAGATATTTATTGTCAATCATTTTGAAAAAAAAAAAAAAAGGAAATGATTCAATTGTTTTTTTTTTTTTCAAATTTATTTTCTTTGATTCAAAAAATGAAAAAAATTTCAAAGTCAAAAATTACGTTGGAAAATTAATTAGATTATTTTACATCAATGCCAGCTTTAAATTACATTAATCAGTTGCTTTTTTCTGAGACAAGAAAAAAAGAAGCAATTATCAAAGTTTAACTTTGTTTGATCTATTTGACCTGACCTTTACTAAGTAATTATCCTCTATCAAGTATTTATTATACTGCAAAATAAAATCATTGAACAACTTTGGTTAATTTAACTTAATATTATTTTAATTTTTTTTCTTATAATTTTTCATTTATTTATTTTTATGAATTTTTTTAAAAAGTATTTCATTTACATTGACGCATATTCAGTGAATGATAAACATACGTTTATTATTTATTTTATTAATAAATTACACATAAAATTTTTTAAATTTAGATTTCAAAAGAAAAAAGAAAGAAGGAAAAGAAAGGATTATTAATGCTAGGATTGTTGACAATTACAAGTGTATTCCGAAATTGGCGGAATAGTTTGCAGCGCAAAGAGGACTACGATGAGTGCCATATGAGAGGAATAAATAATGAAAATGAAATAAGTGGTAAAAGTGAAAAAAATTTCAAATTAGATGAACCACCAATTTCGGTATGTTTTTTATTGTTATTATTATTTTTTTTTTTAATAAAACTTTTTCCTTTTTTGCTCTCTTTTTTAAGTCTGAATATTAATAAATATTAATTTTAGAAATTTTTAGATTTATTCCAAATGAAAATCTTGTTAGTATTATTTAAATACTGCAGTTCTTCTTTTGTTATAAGAATTTTTAGATTTTTCGATTTTTTGTTAAAAAAAATTTTTTAGATTTTAGAAAATGATTTAATAGAATACATGATTGTTCCACGTCAAACGTAACATTTTTACGTCGAAATGGTAAAATTGCATGATGCGAATGCTTATACCATTTTTCTAATAAAGTTAAAATTTAAATATTGCTTGGTAAATTTAATTTAAATAAAATTAGATTAATCATTTTGTCATTAAAGTATATTACATGACATTTAAATAAATTGTAACTAATTCTATTTGATTTTTAAAATAAAAAAAGAAAAATGAAAATTTCATAAATTTTAGTTAGAAACAGTAATGGCAGAATTCAAATTGTCAAATGAGACACTTCGTCGAATGATGGCACATATGTCTCGTAATATGGACAAGGGTCTTGAAGGTGGACCCGAGAATAGCACCATATCAATGTTACCATCTTTTGTACCTGAATTACCTAATGGAACAGGTTGCTGCTCTTTCCTTTTCAATTTTTTGACTTTAATTTTTTTTTCAAATTAAAATATTTTATAAGCTATAACAGTTTTATTATCTAAATATTTTTTCAAAAATATTATTTTTGTAATGATAAAATTTATAAACAGTAATATATTAATGCGACATTTAAAAAAAGAAAAAATATCGTTCAAAAAAAAATAAATGAAATGTAATGAATTCACGTAAAGGTAAGTATTAATTTGTAAAAACACGTGTACAACTGTTATTTTAACTAATTTGATAATTACTTTTTTGTTTTTTGGTATATTGTAGATATTAATTTTATATACTTACAGAAATTTTACAGAAGAAGGTCGATTTATTGCAATGGATTTGGGTGGTACCAATTTACGTGTAATGTTAATGGATATTAAACCAGGTGAAGAGCTGAAGACGGAGCAATTCAATACACGTATACCAAATTGGGCTATGCGTGGTACCGGTGAACAGGTTGATCATTTGTTTATTCATTTCAGTATTGATTGATTGATTGATTGGTTGCTAATTTGAAGCATTTGCTTGATTTGGTTTTAAAAAGAAAATTTCTAAATGAATGATAAAATTCAAATCTAATTGATATTTATGTTTGATCGATTTAGAATATTTAATTAATAATTCAAAATACTTAATCAAAATTTTATTAATAAATAAACATAAAATTAAAGGTATAAAATAAGACACTATATCTTAACCCTTTTTTCTTTTTTATTTTTTGCAGTTTTTTTGAATTTAGTTTTTTAGCTTTTCTTAATATTCTTTTCAGCTATTCGATTACATAACAAAATGCTTAGCAGAATTTCTGATTGAAAAGGGTATCGAGAATGATGGTCTACCGGTGGGATTTACATTTTCTTATCCATGTGATCAGAAAAGTTTACGTTCTGCTACATTACTCAGGTTAAAAAAAAAAAAAAATAAATTTTAAACAAATTGAAAAAATTTGATTTATTAAAATAATATTGACATCTTCTTCTTTTGTCTTTTTTTTTATCATTTGATTAGAAAATAATTTTAAAATATTTAGATGGACAAAAGGTTTTGAAACGACAGGTGTAGTTGGTGAAGATGTCGTGGAACTTCTTGAACAATCTATCGCTAGGAGGGGTGTAAGCTCATTCTTCCTTTTCTTTAAAAAAAAAAAAAAAAAAAAAAATTATAAAATATAATTCAATTTTCATATGTCATTTAATGCATAGTTAGCATTTTTTTCCATTGAAAAATGAATTTTTATGATTCAAATTTTATTAATAATTAATTTATAAATTATTTTAAAAATTATATTAAAATGAAGCTCTGTTTTTGTTTACTACAATTATTTTTTGTAAAAACTTAGATTAGTTTAATAAATTATTAGAATAATTAATTGTTGGCAAAGTTAATTTTCACAAAACAAAAAATGGAAAAAACATTTAAATTTATTTCATTGTTTGTTTTTTTGTTTTTATTCTGAGATATATTATTTGTAGGATATTAAAGTGGAAGTGGTAGCACTAATTAATGATACCGTTGGTACAATGGTAGCAGCTGCTCATGAAAGTGGCGGTGAATGTCACATTGGTGTTATTATCGGTATGTTAAAAAATTAAATTACAAATGGAATATTTTTATGAAATTTTTTTTAAAAGTTATATTAATTTTCTTCTTATTATAAAATAAATTAAAATATTGAAAAAAAGAGCAAAGAATGAAAGAAAACAAAGAATAATATAAAATTTTAGCAACCGGTACAAATGCTTCATATATGGAAGATACATCAAAAATCAAGTACGGTTTATCAAAAGCAATAGCCGCTTACAATTATCCGGAAATGATCATTGATACGGAATGGGGCGGCTTTGGTGATCGTTCCGAAGCTGATTACATTTTAACACAATATGATAAAATTGTTGATAGCCGTTCGGAGCATCCAGGCGTAAACACGTATTTTACTTAAATTATTGCTTTATTTTTCATTACACTTAATTTCATCGTGTATTTGTCTAATTTATTTTTATTTTTAATTTAATTTTTTGCTATTAAATTTTAATAAATTCAAAAATTTTTATTATTATATAATTCTGTCTTATAATTAAACATTTATGCAATTTATTTGTGTTTTGCAAATTTGAAAAAAAAATTAGAAAAATAAATCTGAAAAAGAATTCAAAAAAAATTTAGTAATTAATTTGCAGTGAAAAAAAATTGTTTTTATCAATTGAATAAGTTTAATTGACAATTATAACCTATTCAAATAATTTGCTCCCATTATCATTTATCATTTATCATGATAATAGATTTGATAAACTTGTTGGTGGAAAATGTATGGGTGAAGTGGTACGTGTCGTGTTGGAAAAATTGACGCGGGCACGTGTTTTATTCAACGGGAAAGGTTCGGATGCACTTTTTCAACAAGATTCTTTTCCAACGAAATATATCTCTGAAATTCTTAGGTAAAATTTTATTTTTATACAAACAAATTAGTTTGTTTTTTTTCTTAGCATAAATAAAACTTTAATTTTAATTTTAGAAAAATTTATAATCTTTCTGAAAAACAGAAAGAATTAATTAGCTAATTAGTACTAATTTTTATTTCAGAAAAAGAGGGAAATTTTAACATTTCGTTTTGTTTTGATAATGAAAGTCATAATTTTTAAAAATTTTCTTGCAAAATTTTTTTATCTTATAAATAATTAAATAAATTTACATAAATTTTATACGTATCTAAATTTACATAAGTTTATACTTGTGTGTAAATAAATGTATGTTAACTTATATATATGAAAAATTATTTCACAAATTTATATTTACACGTATCTAATTCACGTTTATACGTATGTAAGCCATACGTGTACAAACGTTTAAACATTTGAGAAGTATTATTATGTGCGATAATTTATAGTTTTTGAGTGCATACATAAAATATCACTGCCATTCATTTCGAATATGCAATTTTCGATTTTGAATACAGCAAAGGTCAAATAAGTCAAATTATGAGTAACGATTGTGATTTCGGATTTAATCATTAACTGAACCATTATTCCTTTTCTGTTTGTCTCATTGATCATTTTATCACTGATATTATGATAAGCTATTCACAATATTATGATAAGCTATTCACAACTGATTTGATATCAGTATTTCAGGGATGAAAGTGGCTCATATGTACATACGAGAGATATATTAGGTGAATTGGGTATCGATCATTACAGTTTCAGTGATATGTTACTTCTTCGAGAAGTTTGCGTTGTTGTTTCACGTCGATCAGCTAATCTTGGCGCTGCTGGTAACTTTCTAAACTATTAATTTAAAAAAAGAATGCCGAAAAAAATTGCTCAAAAACTCTAAGAAATTTATAATTCATTTGAAAAATTAATTTGTCAGTAATTAGGTTCCCTCTCTATAGTTGATTGTTACTAGAATTAACTTTACGATTAATTATAAGTAATAATAAAAAAGTAAGTAATAATAATAAAAAAATAATTTACAGTTAACAAACAAATATTAATTAAACGAGAAATGAAATGAGAAAGAATAAAAGTTCCAGAAATTTATTTTTTATCACACTTATCATTAATCATAACTGATTAGTTATCAGTAATTAATAAACCACAAAGGCAATAGAACTTTTTTTAAAAAAAAAAAAAAAAATAAACAAATAATATATAAATTTAGCTTCATTTATTAAAAGGATTAAAAATCAATTATAAAAATAATTGAAAAATAAAATTTTATCATTTTTTTAAATATTTAATTTAAAATTTTATAGCAATTGCATGTGTGTTAAATCGTGTCCGAAAACAGAATATGGTAGTTGGAATAGATGGCAGTACATACAAGTATCATCCATTTTTCGACTTTTGGGTTCATGATAAATTGAAGGAGCTTGTCGATCCGGGCCTTAAAGTCGGCATTGCATATATTTCATTGATAAATTTTATCACCGTTAGATAGTGATAATTATCATATCATTCATCAAATGTAATTATATCATACACATTATACATCGGTTTTTTCTCTTCTTTTTTCTTTTTATTTGAAATGGAAAAATTTTTAATTAATTGAGATTAAGTTTTTCAAACTAATTTCGATTAAAATGAATACTGCTATCATCATGCTGAAATGCTAAATTATTAATGATAACTCATTTTGCTAATTAATTACTTATGGCTATTCTACAACAACAATTGGTAGTTATCGATAATTAATAGTGATTTAATAAATTTTAAATCAATAAATTTTATTCTATTATAAACCATATAATTTGAATATTTTAATTTTTTTTTTTTAAATCGTATAATTCAATTTAAAAAAAAAATTTGTTTTTTTCAGTTCAAATTGTTACAAACAGCTGATGGTAGTGGTAAAGGTGCAGCACTGATCACAGCAATTGTTGCGCGATTGAAAAAGCGAAATTTAAAGCAACAACAACAACAACAACAACAACAACAACAGCATGTAACAATGGTAGAACAAAATGTTGTTGAGCAAATAGCGGAAACGAAAGGAAGTCGCGAACAGTTCATGAATGGAAATCAAAAAATTAATTTGGTGACAAATGACATACCAATTTATGACAGCTTTAATGGTGACATAGAAAATGGTGTGATCCATTTATCCACTGATCATTGATCACTTTAATCACTTTGTTCAAATTTTGCAAATAATCTTCAATTATGTCATATTTAATTAATATTATCGAAATATCCAAAAAAAGAGAGAAAAAAAAAAAACAAATGTAATACCATTAAAAGCTACAAATGTTATCGAAAAATTAATTAAATTTCGAAATAAATTTGAAAAAAAATTTAAAAAAAAAAAACAACAAATTTCATGAATTCATTCATTTGCAATTGTATAATTTCATTTTTGTGTCTTTTTCATTGTAACCTCATCATAGATGTTCTAAAATTTCATTTTTTAATTTTAATTTTTTTTACTGTTAATTAGTTTAACTTAGAAGCAATTATTTTATTATTTATTACTTACTAAAATTAGGTTTTTTCTTTTTTGCCCAGAAGAATTGCTATTTTATTTCCTCATTAAAAGCAGATTTTTTGTTTATTCCTGAGAAAAATTCAATTGTAAATCTTACAAATCTGATTTAAAAATTTCTAATCAAAATTATTATTCCTTTATTCTGCTCATTAGACAAAAAATAAATAAAAATAAAATTAAAATTACGGGTTCTAGTAAAGAAAAATTGTAATAATTACAATTAAATTACTTTATATATTTGTATAATTGTATATGAATTATTTGATCTTTCTTCATGCGTTTGCTTAGTGTTGTAGAATTATGCCATTTCGCGATAAAATTTAACAATAATTTTTCTAAAAACATCGCAACCTTAATTAGCCATTAATTCTCGAGAATTAGGCTATCTATTATAATATTTCGAGATACTTACTTTCATTTTTTCGTTTTTTTAAAAAGATATTTTGATACATGTATATATATTTGTATATATTTGTTAAATACATGAACGAATTGGTTAATTTTAAAATTGGCGAGGAAAATTTTTTCAGGGATTACTCAAATTTGAAATTTTCATAAAAGTATCGTTCTATTAATCAATGAATAATCCCAAAAGAAAAATATATATTACTTCAAATATTAGTAATTATTAATTAAGTTTTCTTATTAATGATTATTAGTTATTATTTATAATAGGTTATTAGTAATTGTTAGCAAATATTATATTGTAATTATTAATAAAGTTATCAGAGCATTGTGAAATTATACTAATTATGTTATATCGGAATTGCGCTATTTATTAGATCATAAAAATTGTGTAATACCCGCGGGTAAATTACATATTAATTCATAATAATTATATAATTTCCAAATCGAACAGCTTGTTAAATCATAATAATTATGTAATAGATTACTTATTAAATTATAATAATTATGCAATATCGGAATCGAACTACTTATTAAATTATAATAGTTATAAAATATTAGAATCAAACTATAGTCAATATGTTTTTCTTTTAATTTTATATTTCTTCTTCACATTCGTGAAAAATTTCGATATATACTTCGAATTATTTTAGATTTCTTTACCATATTTACCGTTCACTTCACATTCATTTGCAAATCAAATTTTTTTTTTTTTTGATTTAAAAATATTCGATTATTCTAATCGATTAGCTTTTACCGATGTTTAATAATTACTTAGATGGTATAAAACAAATTAAAAGCTTTAATATGCATTTATAAATGAAGTACAAGAGAGAAAGAGAGAGAGAGAGAGAGAGAGAGGAGAAGGAGGAAAAGCAATTCTGAATGTTAAATAGATTTTAAACTTCGAAAATTGTTAAAATAATTTTAGGGCAATTATAAGAAATAATTTTATCTCAAAATTTCTAGTTGTAGAATTCATTTCATAATTAATAGAAAATTGTTCAGTTAAAATTATCTAAACTCTCATTTCAATCAATTAAACGTCAATTTTACGAATGTTAAATTAATATTTGGGTTAAATTTATAAGAATCAATTTCTAATATATGCTGTAAATTATTTTATCGTTTCAAAAAAAAGAAAAATTCTGAATTCTTTCGTTTCTTTTCGATAAATCAATCAAATTTAAAATCGATGAAAATCAATCCAAAACAGATAATTATTTATGACAAATTTATTCTGAACTTTGCACCTCCTTTCATTGCTTCAATTGTCATCGAAGTAATTCTTTGATGAATGAAATATAATTGTAGCAAATTGATATTTGAATTCAAAATATTAAACTAATCAAAAATTTCACTCTAAGACTTACTGATTCATATATAATCAATAAAATATTACTCATTCATTTATAATGTAGGTAAGATTGAATGATTAAACCATTTTCAATTAATAAACAAAAGTATTTTGCTTCGATGAATAGCAAAAATAATATTTGAATTTAAAGGAAACTCAAAAATTTTCATATTTAAATTAGGTTGGAATTTCATTTCAGCGCTTAATGATTTGTTTAAAACTTTTACAAAATTTATTTTTGAGAAGTGAAATGCTTGAAGCTAAACGTATAAACAAAAATTCGTTGTATAAATGTATGTATATGCTTCTTAAGTGATAGAATATCATTTTTAATTTTAATTTTTTTTTTATTTCTAAATTTCATTTAAAAATTCGAATAGTATTGTTTATAAAATTTTTTTAAGCAATATTTCACATTTTTTTTTAAAAGTTTTTTAATTTTTATCTTAAATTCTTCGCAATTTTTCTTTCATTTTTTTCCCAATTGCCATTTCTGTCTTTTTTTCCCTATTTTCTAATCATTTTCTAATCAATTTTAATGTTATTACTCGTTTTATTGTGATTTTATTTTCTTTTTTAATTCTTTCGTTTATTTTATTCGCATTTCTTACATTTTTATTTTACATTTGAATGTGATTTTATTGGAGAACAAAGTGCATAAACTAATTTACATTTAAAATATACAATTTGAAAAAATTGAAATTTAAATTCAGTTGCTGAGGTGATTTGAATATTTTGATTAGTTTTATCATAAAACAGCAAAATTAATAAGCAAAAATAACAAAAGAAATGGAAATGTCAATTAAACTTTTTTTTTGTTGATTGACAGACAGATTTCACACATTTTACAATGAAATTATTTATGATTTAGCAAACTTTCACATTTGGCATTTTCCTATAATTGCATGGGATAATTAAGAAAAAAATAATTTTTTATTGTTACTAAATTGTTATTTGCGAAATTTAATAATTAAATTAATAAATAATTCATAATTAATTAGTAAACAAAATGAAAGACTGTAAAGTAAACAATTAAACAAATAATAATTATTCTGAAACTTTGATATTATTGATTGAAAAAGTGAGTGCAAAATTTCCTTTCGCATAATTTATGCTAGCGCAATTGTCCTATCATAAATAGTTGGCGCACGAAGAATAATAATAGCACTACCAATTGTACATGCTGATGTAAATAAAATTAAAAATATTCGATCCAACACCATTGACATATATTTCCAATCTTCAATTATCTAAAACATTAGAAAAAAAAAAATTATGACAACGAACTAATTAATTAATTAATTGGATAATTAAATAATTAAAATAAAAAAAAAAAGTTTTCAATAGTTATCGATGCATTAAAATATGTTTTGCTATTGCAATTAATTACTGCTGCTTTTAAATGATAATTGTATCACAAACTGATAATTATTCCACTTTTTTATAAATTTCTTTTTCTTTTCTTTTCTTTTCTGAATGCTAAATTTATTTATATAACTTAGAAAATAGAAATAAAGAATGAAAGTTTTTTGTCGTATTATTTCTGTTTTTTTTTTTTGGATTTGTTTTATTGATTATAAAGAATACTGATATTATGAGAATGTGTTATTTGTCTCTAAATTGTATCAGAAATGAAAATTGAAACAAAAGTATTTCTGTGATTTGAATTTGTTAAAGCACTCAGTTTGTACAAATGGAATAAACAGTTGTAATTAGCACTAATTAGCTGCAAATCTTTTTAATTTATTAATTACAAATAGCATTTGAAATTTGCATAATGGCTAACCTGCTGTTTGCTTTCATTATCTTTTAAATGATTAGCAATAAATGCGACGTTATCAACGGCACTTTGTAACACTGTCAGTTTCTGATGTTTACGTTTGAAATTTCCGAATTGTTCCGGAAAATTAGACAAAACACTTTTTGGACGAAGGAAATGTTCCTAAAACATAAATTTTTAAAACTCATAAAAGGAAATGATTGGAAATGAAAATTAGAAATGGAAATGATGAAAACTATGTTTGTGAGGGAAAATTGGCAAAGTGGAAATATTTGCTATTATATATATATATATATATTTTAATTTAATTAAATCAAAATTTTACATTATAAAAGAAATAAAAGCGAGGAAAATTTTGAATTTAAAATTGAACCTTATATAGCACAGGTTCAAATGATGTTGACAATATCGTTGTTTGATTTCTGTATGGTTGTGTTTGTGATAATTGTGATCGTTTTGTTATGATTATCTAAAATGAAATGATAAGTGATATTAAATGGAGGATGTGATAATGTCTGTGAAACATTTAATACAAAAATTTTTGTAGAATTTTTTTCTAAATTAAAAAGATTTACTAAAATTTTATGAAAATTTAATAAAAATTTATTAATTGGAACAGAAAATTCCTCATTGTTTTACTTTAACTTTTATGTCAAAAAACAATAATAATAATAATAATAATTTACTTTACTTATTCTTCATTCTTTATTTTTATTTTATATTCTTTACTATATTTATTTTTTAAAATAAATGAAATGATATTGACAAAATAATCACTGATAAATATATGATTCAAAAAAACTCTTCTATCAAAGTTTAAAATAATTTGGTAATTAAACTAACACTGATGTATGCATAAGTTTAGTAGCATTAACTAATTAACTTAATTAAACTAATTAAATAAACATTACTAATTAGTCATTTATTATATTTGCATTTTGTTATTTGTTTTATTAACTTTTAAGATCATAAATTTATCACATTTGATTCGCTGTTATCAGTTGTTGGTGATAATTCAATTCGTATTTGTGTTGGTCGTTGCATGCATAAATATTTGGGTAACCATTGGATGAAAAATTTTTTAGCCCATTGCGGCATTACATGCGTTGTTGGTGTTCGATTATGGACATTCTGTAATTTAAAAAAAAAAAAATTAAATTAAATTTTTTTTACGATAAATTCGACAATAAATTTATTTAAAATAATATATAAATTTGATATTTTATTGAAATTTTGATAAATACTTAAATAAAGTTTTATATATTTCATAAAATGTTTGTGTTAAAAAAGATTTTTTTCAAAGTATTTGTTGAAATTTTTATCAAAATTTAATCCTTTTATTATTTAATTTCTTAAGAAAAAAAAAATTGACAAAAAAAGAAAAAAAAAAAAACAATCAAATGAGAGCAATAAAAATAAATAAATTATACCAAAGTGATAACAGTAACAATAACTGATAAAGTGACAAGAACCATTGTGAATAGCAAATATTTTCCAATTAATGGAATTACCAGTGAAGTTGGTGGAGTTATTTCAACTGTAAAAAAATTTTAATTATTTAAAATTTCTTAATTAGCAGAAAATTAGACTAAAAGAATTTCAAAAAATGAAAAAGGAAATTGTTTAAATTAAGAAAGATCCAAAATTCTAATTTGGTTAACTTTTTTTTTAAAAAAAAAATTGAACATTTAATTAAAATTATTACTTTACAGAAATCAAAAAAAAAAAAAAAAACTAATAGTTTTACTTTTACTTTCTGTTTATTATATATAGTTTTACTTTCTGTTTATCAAAATTATTTAATAAAACTTTAATTAAACTTTTCATATATTTTTTTTTAAATTAATTTTAATTAAACATTTTAATGTTTATCAAATTGCAAACATTTCTCAGTCACTGATTAATGCAAATAAAAACATTGAAATATTAATTACTATTTGTTATTTTATTTTAAATTTTGATTAATATGTAAAGATATATTTATTTAATTTGAAATAGATATATTTATTTAATTAATGTTATTGCTAAAAAAGTTTTTTTTTTAATATTTGTAAAAATAATTTGTTAACAAATTCACAAAAGAAAATATTAAAAAATAATCATAAATATTTTTTAATGCTGCTAAATTGAAAAAGTGAGAATTTGATTCAATTAATTTTAATTTTTGTTTTCAATTCCCTCTTCTTTTTCATATTATTATTGATTCATTAATTAATTGAAATAATTAGATAAAATATTTGAATTTATTTATTTCATATTCGTATACGATCACAATGACTAAACACTTGAAAAGAATGAAAACTTTCAATTTATGGCATAAATATTTATTGTAAGAAATATTTCACAAATATTATTTCTTCCTAACAAATTTATCAATGAAATATCAATTTGAGCACAATTTTGAAATAACAATGAATAATACTTTAACAATGATAAATTCTAAATTTGTTATGCAACAAAAAAAGAAAAGAAAAGTTATAATAGTTTATTTGTCTTTTTCCGATTTCTATTGAATTGAAACTTTCTCATAAATATTTGCAAATCTTTAGTTGAAAAAGAAAACAAAAAAAAATTATTTCCATATGCTATCATTTCTAATGGAATTTTGTGAAAAATCAAAAATTTTTTCAACTTTTTTTTATCTAAAAATTTTTTTAAAAAAAAATTCTCAATAAGTTATATATTAGTAGTAATTAATATAATTTGATTGTGATATGACAAAAATTCCAACAATTAGGTAAGAAATAATTCAAATAATGTAAATAATATTTTTGTAGTATAGTTTACCTTACAGAGAAATCATACAGGTATTGTTGTTAAGGTTAAATCATCATTACCTGTACTTTTATTTCATTTCAATTTCAATTAAGTTTCAACATTTTTCGTCATTTCTAGGTGTGTTTATTCCATGAACAGTACAATACGATAATTTTATTTGAAACGAATAGATGGAAAATTTTGATAAGATTTCGCACAAAAATTTAATTAGCCCAAAAAACGAATATTTTGAAAATTTTTAATGCATTTAAATTTTGTATGTGATTTTTGACCACTTGAAGAGAAGTTTTTTTTTTTTTTTTTTTGCTTTGTCTCTAAAAAAAAATTAAAAAATAACTGATTTCAACTATTATGAATGGTTTATTATTTTCAAACAAATTATTTTGATAAATAAATGACAAAATCGTAAGTTATACTATAAATAGAATAATTTTTTAAATTTTACTCAAATAAATTCATAAGATGAAATTAAAGTTAATGTGAAAATTAAAAATCACATTTAGAATAAAATTTATTTTAAAAAAATTCTATTAAAATTTAGCAAAATGTTAGGATAAATATTAAAATTCTATTTTAATTTTATTAAAATTTAGTACAATATTATAATAAATATTAAAATTGTAGGAATATAAGTTATAATGTAAATGAGTCAAAATTTAAAATATGAAATTTGAATAAATTTAAAAAATAAAATTATGTTATGGTTTTTACAAATCAAAAACATACCAAGTAATAAAAAGAATACAGTTAATGAGATAAGAATTGATATGCAAAATGAAATCTTTTCACCACCATCAGATGGTAAATAAAATACTAATGCTGTAAGAAAGCTGAAAAATTTATCAATGATAAAGTTATCAAGTTTGGTTTTATGCTAATTAAATTAAATAATTTAAACTGAAATGCCACTTAAATATAAAATTAATTTAATTACTGTTACTGTGATATAAAATTAAGATAATATTATTTATTTAAATAGAATTAAAATATAAAATTAGTCAAATTTAATTAGTTAAAAATTAATTTACCTAATTCCAACAATTGGAAAAATGAGATTCACTGTGTAGAATAATGTCTTTCGTCGAAGATGAATTTCATAGGTGAGATCAATGAATGGTGATTCACAGCATGAATATCTCAAAAAATATTTAAAATTTTAGATTGCAAAAAAAAATTTATTGAAATTAAAAAAAGAAAATTACTCTGTTACGTTTTATTTCTTTTTCTTTTGAAATATTATTAATCTAAATTTTTTTAATAAATGTCACTTAAATATAAAATTAATTTAGTTACTGTTACTTTTGAAAGAAAAAAAATTAATTTATATATTACTATTTTTTTTTTCTCAAATTATTTATTTTATTACAAAAATGATTATTAATAGATGCAAGAAACATTTCAAAAATTGCAGATAATTATTAATTTTTAAATAAATACTGAAAAATTCATTTCAAATTCAATTTTCTCCTTAAAAAAAAAAAAAAAAAAAAAAAAAATAAGAAGTGGAAAGGACCTAATTTCATGGCGTTTACCAGTTACACCGAGTATATCCCATTCAACGCTTGGATAATAATCACTTAAATCAATACCTAAATCAAATTTCTCAATAATTTATCAACAACTTTTCGTTTAATTTTCATCCCAAATAAATTGATTTAAATCAAATAAAAAATTAAAAAATATAAATTAATATATAATAATTTATATAATTAACTAGCCTTGATCAACAATCCAAACTGTTTCAATATATTCGCCATTAATTCCAAATGCTATTTCATCTACTTTTCGTTCAATATTCGAATCTTTATGCTTTAAATCAACTTCTAAGCCACTGTATGTCCATGAACCTTTATCAAAAGTTAAAATAAAATTTTAAAAATTAAGGAAAAAAGTTTTTTTTTTTAAAAAATTGAAATACAAAAACATAAATGATGACATACCAAATTTCATCTCACAAGTTTGCTCATCGAATGGAAACCATTCTACGTTAATTTGACACATACTTAAAGAAAAAACAACAAATTATTTTAGTGTAAATTAATAATAAAATTGAAAAATATTTTTAAAAAAGTGGAAAAAAAACAAAGAATTGAAAAAAATGATTTTATGAATAAACTTAAAAAAAAAAAATATTCATTAAGTTTTTTTCTTAAAAAAACCTTTTGTAAATTGCTGGTGGTGACCATTCCACAGTACCATTAGGTGATAATTTAGCTTTTGTTAAAAATGATACTTGATAATTTCCATCAGCACTGTAATACTATCAATTTTAATTGAAGTTTTTTTTTTTCTTTTTTTTGAGATTAAAATTATTTATTAACTTTCAAATATGTTTAATTTGTTGATTTGTTTAACAAAATTTTTTCTTTTTTATACAATTTTCAATTTTTCAAATACATTTTTCAAAATTGTCCTTTTCCCAAGAAAATTTGTTAAAATTCAAATAAATGTTTTCAAATGAAGAAAAAAAATAACAAACTTATTGTAAAGTACAATATCCGGAATCCAAATCATATCAGATGGAACATATAATGCATTCACTCCGCCATACTCTTCCGGATTCCATTTCAGTTTGACATCAGTCCATGTCTGAAATTAAGGAAAAAAATGTCAATGATGTCTAAATTATGATTTTTAAAATTTTGAACTTTTTTTAAAAAAAAACTATTAAACGATATTTTTGCTTCTTTTTTTTTTTAAACGAAAGTTTCAGGAAGTTTTTTTTAAAGATTAAAATTTCATATTCCTCAGTGATTTGAGGATGGAAATAATAAATTTTATATCACTTAATTGCAAATATTTCTTAGTGCCACCGAAATTAATTACTATATTTCAGTATTTTAATATTAATTACTATTATATTTTAGTAGTATAGAAAGAACAGAATAATAATTTTATTTATTTCTGATATTTATTTCCAATTACATATCTTACAAGAAATTGAAAAAATTAGACAATAATATTTAAAAATATACATGTTGAAGCCAAACATTTGTCGTCATAATTTGATTCTTTTCATGCTGAAAGAAAGAAAAACAAAAAAAAAAAAAAAAAAGGAAAAATTGAATGTTAGTTATTTAAAAAGATTTTTTCAATAAAATTAATGAATTATAAAATTAGAATTTATTCTTTTCAGCCATTGAATATTCAAATTTGAAAATTTAACTAAGTATAGAACAATAGGAACAGTAAACTGACCACATCAAGTAATTGTGATAATTTTAATTTAAAACGAACAATCAATGCATCCGTTTTATTGTCCACTGGTCGAACAAGTTTATTATAATTAACTAATAAATCTTCGAATAAACGATTGGCATCTTCAGTACAGTAAACAATTGATAGTAAGCAAATATGCAGAAGATTAAAGTTAAAATTAATCATTTTGAATGAAATCATACTTTTCTTCACATTCTTTAATTACTTTTCATTAATTTAAAAATTACTCGTATTTTAATATCAGCAGAAATAATCATTTTGAATTATTTCAATTAATTTAAAGACTACTACTATTTTATTATCATTAAATAATAATTGACGTATAATTTTTAAAGGAGAAATTTAGTTGATAAAATTTTACAATGAAACTATTTGAATTTAAAAAAAGAAGAGTTAAATTAAAAAAGCTAAAAGAATTGAAACGAAACAAAATAATAAGATAGTATTATTTTTTTTTATTTTTCATTCATTTTTTTTGGGAACCAAAAAATATTGAAAGAATGAAAAGGAAAAAGAAGAAGCACTGAAGAGAAAATGGCAAAATAAGCCATTTTATTAATCTCAAAGACTTTTTATCTTAAGGCAATAGCGCCAGTGGCGGTAGCAGCAGAAGCAGAAGCAGTAAATAATATCAAAGTATTAGTGGTAAGGAAGATTGTAAGATGAAAAAATCGATTGAAATTATATTAAAGGATGATTCTATTTAAAATTTATCAAATATAAACATTCATTTTGATCGATAACTAATGGATGATTGAGAAAGTTTCAAATTTCAATCTTACAACACTTCATTTATCAATTTCTTATCATTGTTCTAGTTGTTATAATAGATAAATGCTTATCATTGCTGTATTACCATGATAACTATCCCATATTACACATACATCTATTCATTTTTATCAAAATTATCATTGCTATATTATTATCAATGACTGTTTATTGCATTAATTTCATAGTAAAATAGATTTATGCGGAAAAAAGTGGCAAAAAACAATCGTAATCGTTATCAATAAATTATCATTTAAATGATTTATTTAATTATCTAAAATTAAAATTACACTTCATATTTCTGAAATAATTTAGAATTATTTTATTTAGCGCCTAATTTCAATTCATTTTTCTGGGCAAAAAGAAAAAAAATGATAAAAAGTTAATAAATGTGATACGATAAAATATTAAAATTGATTAATATTTCTTTTATAAAATTGTATTATATAACAATAAAAACAAAAAAAAAAAAAAAAAAGATGGCAGTGATATTTAACAATGAAAAGAAAAAGAAAGAAAGAAATTTCATTTATTTTTCTGACAAGTTTTCCATTCAAAACTTGCCAAATGCAAATAAATTAATTTTTGTGAGATATAAAAAGAAGAAGAAGAAGCCATCAACTTTTTTCTTCTTTTCTTTTTTTTTTGTAATGAAAAAAAAATTTTAAAATATGAAAAAATATTGATGAAAAATGGATAGCAGAAAAAAAAAAAACAGAAATAAGTATGATTTTTTAAATTTATGTCTTTCTTGTTTTCTTTTTTTTTCCAGTTAAAAAGATTGAAATGATATTTTATAATAAGCCATATGACAATTAGATATTTCATTTTGATAAAAATTTTGATGAAAAGAAAGAAAAATGAAAAACAAAAATAAATTTGTTTGATGGGACAAAAATTATTGCTAAAAAATTTTTAATTTTTTTTTTTGTCATTTTGGCGAAAATGGGAGTAAGGGATTAAAGATATCTCAGGAGAAATCTTTACTATTGCATTTTAAGAATCTGTGACTTTTGTTTTTTGTTTAAAATGAAAGATTGAAAATGGAAAAGTTCATTAGATTGACAATTTCTTATTTTATCAAGCATTTTGGAGGCTAAAAGAGTGGAATGAAAATAATGAAAGGATGGAATTGTTTGTTGGATGTTTAATATTTTCATTTTTTCTTGGTAGGAAAAAAATTCAATTTTATTTTTTTTTCACGTTGTGTTTTTAGCATATTTATCTTTTTTTTTTTTTTTTTTGAAATATTTTTATGAATTTTTGCTTTGTATGAATGTATGATAATTTATAGATTAGATAAATACTTTTAATTAAAAGCAGTTGAGTAAATTTTATGCACTAAGTTAATATGTTTTTTCCTTTTACTATCTAATAATTTCAATTTAAATAATTGATAATAAAAATATGATTGTAATTGACATTAACTTCTTTTAATCAAAAAAATGAAATATTTTTGAAAAAAAAAAAAAAAAAAACAAACAAACAAAATAATAATTGCCATTTATTTAACAACTTGAAATTTGTTGTATTACTGAAATTTATTAAAACACTAAAATTTATTGTTTAGTTATTTGCAATGAGTAATACCGTCGTCCTTGTAGTGATTATGAGTCGGATATAACTGTATGATGTAATGGTTCACATAGAATTTCAAGGTAGTTGCAGTCCTTGGAGCAATTAACCGGATATAACTGGATGTGATGATTCACTTAAGATTTCAGTATTAGTTGTAGCCCCTGGAACAATTATTAACCGGATGATATAATAGTTCACGTGGGGACTCTATTACTCGTTGCGCTTGGAGCAAAATTAATAACCGGATATAACCGGATAACATAATGGTTCAGATAGAATTTCAGTAGTAGTTATGCTCGGATACTGTGATTGTCTTCAGCATTGATCTTAATAAAGTCAATTATTATTTTTAATTTTTGTGAAAATTATTAATTTATTAATTACTTCGTTTTTCTTTTTCTTTTCTTTCAATTGAATTTTTTCATATAAGCGAAAAATAAATTTTTTAATTTTTCATTTATTGAAAATAAATTTTTAATTTTAATAATATTTGCAATTTGTACCTATCCATAAACTAATCAATATTTTAATGATATGAAAACGAAATAAAATAGAAATAATTAGGAGAAAGAAAGAGAGAGAGAGATGAGGAAAAGGGAAGAAAAGAAAAAAAGATATTGATAAAGTGATGTTTTCAAATTGGAATTAAATTTTATTTCATTCCCTCAACTTATTGAAAATTGAATGAGAGACATTGGCATAGAAAGTATAATTTATTTTACATCGAAATTATATTGCTAATTTAAAATAAGAAATCTCTAAACATTTCAAATGATCTAATTTTCTCTCAATAAAAAGTTTGAAATTCCATTTAAAAGGAATGAAAAAAAAAAAAAAAAAAGATTTTTCTTTTAATTAAAACGAAACTGATTGATTTCAATTTTATTTTATTAATTCCATCTAATTAATTGTTGGCGTATAAATGATTATAAATAGCTGTATTTTTTTGTTTTTTTAATTTAGAAAAAAATTTTCAATGAAAAATTTTAATAATTATGAATAATATACTTATATAATAAACAAACAATTATTATACATATTTATTTATTGCGAGTAAATTTTTTATCATAATAAACGATTGAAATAAATTAATTTTTAAAAATATTTTATAAATTTCGTAAAATATTTGTAAATGTTTTTAGATTTTAGAAGAAACAAAAAAAAAAAAAAAAAATTGAAATTGAAAAGCACAAAAATATTTGTTCACATTTCATTTCAATAAGAGAAAAAAAAAAAGGAGTGTAACCCTTTGTTTCCTGTTTTATCAGGAAACTTCTTACATGATAAAGGATGACATTTTAAAAATAAACTGAAGTGAATAAATTTAAATTAACCGCCAACAAAGTGCAAACAAATTTTTTTTTTAACTCTTTTTTTCATTGCTTTGTACATCTCTTATTCTGATTTTAATCAAAAATAGCATTAAAAGTAATCATGTAGCGGCGCATTTGTAATGAAATAATCAATCTTAAAATCTTCTATTTCCCTCCAAAATTTCACTCTTCTAAACTTGAAATAATATTTTCCTTTTTTCTTTTTTTTTTTTTGAAGATTGTTGAGCTTAATTAATTAAAATTATTTTTTATTAGTAATTATCGCAAATTAATCATATATTATTTAAATTACATAATTATATTTCTTTAACCAAAGCTTATATTATTGGTGATGAAAAAAAAAAAAAAAAAAAACATTCAGAGAATTTATTTGTTTGTTTGTTTTCTTTTTTTTAATTTAAAATATTTGAGAAATTGAATAATATGCGAAAGTTTCTTTTTTTGATGGAAGATAATAAAGTCTTAATTTTATAGATTTGGCTCAGTAATTTTTTTTCTTCACTTTGGATATTTCCGTGATATTTTGCTTTTATCCTCATTAAAAATAATTTTATTCCATTTTACTCTTTTTTTTTAAGGTAAATCCCAGTTTGTACGAAGCATAAATAAAGTTATAATAAACTAGATCAGATTAAATGAGTAAAAATTTTATTAAATTGATTAAAATAATCGATTCTAGTAAAGCTGAATTGATTTATCACAATATGCAACGTATTATACATATAAATTAATCATTTTTTGTATAAGAATATGAAATTTGTTGTATAAATTTTTTTAATAAAATCAAATGTATGAGAAAAAGGAGAAGCAAACTATTAATTTTGCTTCATTTTAAAAACCTTATCAAAATCAAAATTTTCAAATTCTTTGAGTGAATATTGCATTCTGCATCCTAAAAGTTATAAATTACAATTGCTGATATCTTAAACTGATAAGGAAGAAGGACAACACAATACACTATTCAATTGAAATTTACTTATTATACGAAATCGTTTTGATGACGATGATATGAGAAGACGAAGAAAGAAGGACGGAATTAAAGGTTAGTGATTATTATCACTGACAGTGATATTGATGTTACGGACAACAAGAAATATTGTCACTATTATTTACAATTTATCTTTTTGATTTTATGTTGGTAATAATTTTAAAAATGGTATCAATAATAATATATAATAATAGTAATAACAATGACAGTAATAATAATAATATATGATAATAATAACAATAACAGTAGTAGTAATAGTAATAGAAAAACAAATTATCCATCCTATTCTTATAAATTTATTTTTTTCAGTATATCATTAAATTATATCAGATGATAATGATGAAAAACATTAGCTAATTTTTGCTTTAAAAATCATTCATAATAATTATTATAATGCTAATGTAGTAATTATCACTATTAATTCTTTTTTTTCCTATTAAGAATTTCTTTAAATGATGAGCTAATTGAAAATGATTGACAGTGGCAAGAGGAATGATAATTATTCTTGCTAA